GGCGGGCAGGCTCCTTCTGAGGCTGAGCCCCGAGAGACCAAGGGAAATGGGGACACAGGCAGACCCGCTTGGCGAAGTGGAGGCGGGCCACACTTACAGTCTAACCTGGGAGGGGCCGGGAGGGGCCAGAGACACCCACTCAGGGCCCCAGGGCACCCATAGCCCCCTCCAGCGCATCTGCTGCTGGGAGCCCCAGCAGAATCTGTGATCCTGAGGGTGGGGTTGGGGACGGGAGGGACCAGGAGAAGGCCAGTGGCAGCCGTGTGGCCACTGCAGGCTGGCATCAGGCACCAGGCAAACAGTGAGAGCAGGGCCCTACCCTCTTCACCCAGCAGAGCCCCTGCCATCTGCCCAAGTGTCCCGTGCTGTCACACCTCAGGCCTGGTCCACACAGTTCCCGCCTCCTCCCACCCTCCCCCACCACCAAGTCCTCCCCGTGTTGTTGAGGGCCTCGTTCCACCTAAAGCCTCCAGGCCGGGAGGGCCCCAGGCAGGCGCGGAGAAAGCCATCAGGGACCGGGTCAGAGGAGATGCCTTCTCCACTGTGTTCTCTGCAAGCCTGGACGGCCTTCATCCAGCAGGACCATGCTCTGCCTTGTCCCCAGCGTGTGCGTCCCTGGCCCAGCCCAGAGCCACTTGAGACCAAACTCTGAGTCTTCGGCTCTCTCGGGGCCCCTTGGCCTGGGAACATGCCCTTGGCCCCCCGGGGCAGCCCGCTCAGCTCAGTTGGCACCTTTGAGCACTTCCCTGATTTTTATTATTTTATCCCCTTTTACCCATCACAGTCCGTACTGAGTTTCTTTCCTCCCATCCGTTCACCACGACTAAAAACTCCAGGAGGGCAACAGATGTGTTTGTGTTGCTCACTTCTGCCATCCCCAGCACCCAGCGTGTGCCAGGCTCCCAGGCCTGCGGGAGAGCTGACGGTACACAGTGGTACTACAGCGAGTTACAGGGGCTGATAGGCCGGGTCCCTGTTGGAAGGAGAAAAGGTGTACAAAATGCGTGCTTTTCCCCGCAGAAGCTGCCTTTAGCAAGACAAAAGTGCTGATCCCACCCTCCTGAGTTCCTAGTTTTGCCTTGAGAATAGAAAGAAGTTACCCAACCCAGCCTGTGGAAGGTTTTTTTGTTTTATCCTGAGCAGGCAAAATAGGATTCTGGCCTTCTGATGGGTTTTCCCCCACCCTTGGATCCGTCCTGGAATTGTGCTTAAAAGACGCCACTCCCACCAGCTTCTGAGGTCTTCCTGCCGGCCCAGGCAGGAGGTTTCTGACTTCAGCAAAGCTTGCTTTGCTCACTGCCTTGTCCGCGTGGAAATTCCTCATCTACGTGAAACAGGAACCAAGGTCATCTTCATTGCCGTTTTCCCTGTAACTGTACTCAATATGTGCTTATTAGCTAAATGGCATAGGTGCTCAATACTTGCTTATCAGAGAGCTAAATGGGGGCTGGTGTTGTGATGCAGTGGGTTAAGCCACTGCCTGCAGCGCCGGAATCCCATGTGGGCATCAGTTCGAGTCCTGGCTGCTCCACTTCCAACCCAGCTCCCTGCTAATGCACCTGGGAAAGCAGTGGAAGATGGCCCAAGTGCCACCCACATGAGAGACCAGGAAGAAGCTCCTGGCTTCAGCCTGGTCCAGCCCTGGCTGTTGCAGCCTTGTAGGGGAGTAAAACAGTGGATAGAAGATTTCTCTCTGTCTTTCCCTATCTCTCTCTCTCTCTGTAGCTCTGCCTTTCAAATAAATAGTCTTTTTTAAAAAAACAGAGAGCCAAATGGCATACAAAAAGCACTCAATTATCAGTGTCTCCAGACTGCCCCCCTCTCCCACTGTGCCCTGCACACAGTGGGCACCAGAGGAAATTGGCGTTGCCCCTAGTCTTGTCTGCCACTCACTGAATGGAGGACCGGCCCCCTCTTAGTCTCAACTGCCCACCTGGGATGGTGGCCACTCCCCACCTGCCTTCTGGCTCCAGCCTTAGTGCTCTACTTTATCTTAGCAAAGCAAGGACCTTTCCCCCATCCAACTGTGTTTCAGTGTTCAATGGACCCTTTAAACTATAGCCTCCTAGAGACTATGCTAATGGTGGGTGCTCCCTGGGCAGGGCTCGTGGGCACTCCCTTGCCCAGCCGAGGGTGTGCCGTCACTCCCTGTGTTCGAGTGGACGGGCCTGTCGGTGGCAAGTGCTGGCTCTGGGGCCCCTCCCGGGCCGCACCACTAGGCCTGGGGAAGAGGTTCGAGCCAGACCCACGAGCCGGCCTTTTCACTGTCCTGCCGGGTGATTCTGACCCACGGCGAAGGCTGAGAATCCCGGAGCTGGACGACGAGAAAGCGCTCGGCCGCCACTCTGGCGTGAGCTGCAGCCACTGCTCCCCCACGGCCTGGGCTGTCAGGCACTCGGGCTGGGGCAGCCCCACATCTGGGTGGCTGCCGCACAGGCCACAGCAGCAGCTGGAGCCCTTCTGGGCTCCTGGAGCTCATTAATCACTTCCCGTCTGGTCCCCATTCACCCCCGGGGCCAGAGGAGGAGAGGGCCGTGGGACGGAGCTGCATGGGCACCTGCTGCTCCCGCGGCACCTGGCACCCGCACTCCCTGAGGCCGAGATGCTGCCCATGACAGGTGACCTCCAAGATGGCCCCAGCGGCTCACACCTGGGTCATGGCTTTCCTCGGAGTAGGGGCTGAATTTGCCATCTTGCTTTGTAAGGGAGGACATGCAGCCGAAGTGACGGATTGTGGCTCTGTCCTGGGTGCCTCTGACACTCTCTGGGCCCACTGTACGTGCGAGACGCCTGCCAAGAATGACGGACGCAAGGGAGCGTGGGCGAGCCAAGCCAGCAGGTGCGCTGTAGCCCCCAGCTGCAACCTCATGGGAGGCTCGGAGCTGGAGGCCCCGTCTCAGCCGCCCCCGGGTTGCTCAGAATCTCGGCGATAGTGACTGCGGGCCGTGTTTTGGGGTACCGTGTGCAGCAGGAGGTGCCCAATGTGTGCAGCAGGAGGTGCCCAGTGCACCCCCTTCTCCGAGCCCCCTCCCCCCACCACAACAGTTCTTCCTGGATCCTTCCTAAGCCCCTAGCCAGGGCCATGTCAAGTTGACTCATGTGCCCTGATCTTGATTCATGCAGACCCGCCCCTCAGAAGTCCTGGGACCAACTCAACACCCCCCAGCACCCCCCAGACTCAGGGCCAATGCCGCCTCCTCGGTGGAGTCTTCTGTCATTTTCTGGGCCCACCACAGCCCGAGCAGTTTCTATTCAAACAAGGCTAATGCGTCATGGGTTTTGTTTATTCACAGGTCTGTCACCCCGCTCGCTACCTGATGCCCAGCATAAGTCGGTAATAGTTTGATGAGTGACTAAGGGATCAACAATGAAGCACGGGTTTCCATTGGCGCATTCTGCTCCCACCCCTGCCATTTCTCAAGGCTGTGAACATCCACATTCACGGATTTACAACCAAATTTGTTACCTTCCCCAAGGGGGCAGCCTTTTCCCCCAGATTCCCCATTTCTTTTCTAGAACCCTCACCTCCCCGCACCATCCCCTGTGCCTTCAGGCTCCTCCTTTTCCCCACCCTCCAGCGAGTCTTCACAGCGGTCTGCTTCACTGGCCACACCCCTTGCTCATCAGCACCCCAGCACCGTGGGGGAGGGGCCAGGCATCAGCTCCAGGCTCCCCTCCCCCATCCTCCCACAGCCTCACAGGGCTGGAGGCAACCATCCCCAGGCTAAACTTCCATGGACTCCCTGCAACCAGTGGGATAGGGTTGGCATTGGAGGTGCCCTGGGACACACCTGGGGCACACCGGGAGGCTCCTAATCCCCTACACCCCTTCCAGCCCAGCTCACCGGCAGGCACCTGCCACAGGTGGGCTTTGCATAGTTGGCGTCTAGCAAGCACTTCCTGTGTGCTGAGAACCGATAACGCTCTCGACTGCTCACAGCCACCCTACGCAGGGGGGCCTTGCCCTTGGCCAGCATCCCAGGGCTTCTCCCAGCAAGGCTGTGACTTGAACCCAGCTCTGTCCGTGTCGTCAGAGCCTTCCCAGCCTTCCCACCGCCGCCTCGTGCCTCTCCAAACTCCTTATGCTTGCAAACCCCCTGCCGAGGCTTTGCCAGAGTCACCTGGCCCAGTGCTATTTTTCCCTCCCGCGAACTCTGTGGCCTGGGTAAGCAGCCAGATCTTCCCCGTTCTCTCTGCAGGAATTCTCTGAGCCTCAATTTTTTTTTTTCCATGTAAAACAGTTCTTTCCCTCAAGGGCTCCTGTGAGGGCTAAATGAGTTCATTCACAGAAGTGCTCAGCACAGTCCCCGTTGGCAGCCCTGGAGCCCGGCTCACGGGAACATGCACACGCCCGTCTCTGAATTGGGAGTGACCACGTGACCCGCCCACTCCCCTGGCGTGTGTGGAGGTGGATCGTGTGGGCCGCCACAGGTATGAATTTCACCTGCCACCCTCTCCCCGCCCCTCTGCCCCGCCCACAGCAGCCTCCCAGCCCCTGGGTTTCCGGAGGGAGGAGCCTCAACCTGGACCATGCCGGGCAGGTGGCATGGGGTGAGGCGAAAACACTTCCTGTTGGGTCACTTCCGCACAGCCTGGCCTGTTCCGGACGCGGAGTAAAAGCTCCGTGCATGTTAAGTCATTCACACAGCAGGGCGATCTATTCTAGCTCGTCTCCTTAAAAAACCTCACCATTGCCATCATAAATAATCATGAAATAACGACAACGAGAAAGCTGTATCCTCACACCAACCGATTCAGTCATCTGGTGTCGCACCTGTTGTGTGTGTGTGTGTGTGTGTGTGCACGCACGTGCATAGATCAATGTGCTGGAAGTGTTCCCCACGCCCCTACAAAGAGAGGGCTTGGACACCCTGGCCGCAGGGGCCCCACGGTCAGCTCCAGGCCCCAGCCCGCCTGGGCCCTCGGCTGCCAGGTCCGCGTCTGCAGCCAGTAGCGACGTCCCGCGCTCACAGGGGCACGCGCCCCACTGTGGCCCTTACCTCGGCAGACGGTGCCGTTCTCCACGGCCTCGAAGCCCGCCTTGCACATGCAGCGTCCGATGGGCACCAGCCACTCGCCGTCCCCGTTACAGTACAGCTTGATGGGCACGTCCACCTCCTCGGCGTTGGCGATGCAGCTGCCCCGGGCGGCCACCAGGGACGTGCTCTCAGCCCCCGACAGCGTCTCCTGGAAGACGGCGCCGTTCTGGATGACACGGGGGCACTTGCGGTAGAAGACGCGCACGGCGATGAGGGACATGCAGCCGCCGTAGTCCTGGAAGGCCAGGTAGAAGCCAGCGCGGGACACGGGTCCGAAGCTCCGCACCTCCGTGTTGATTTTCATGACCCGGCCGCCCAGGTCCACCTGCGAGAAGCTCTCGTCGGCGGCAATGGTGTCCACCTTCACCCACGGGTTCTCCATCCAGTTGGGGAAGGTCTTGGTGGCCGAGTCGAAGTCGGCCTCGTAGTAGTAGAGGTTGAAGGTCTCCTTGCAGGAGCCGGGCACGCTGGGGATGCTGCTGCAGTCACGCACTGAGAACTTCATCTCCACGTGGATGCGGTGGGCGCCGCGGCGCCGGATGAACTTGGTCCGCAGCCAGTTGTTCTGGCTCGACTCAAACACGTTGCACACCTGGTAGGTGCGGATGGTGTTCATGTTCTCGTCATAGCCACTCACTTCTTCCCACTGCGGGCGAAATGCTGGTCAGGTCCGGGAGGAAGCGGCTCCGCCCCCCGCCAACGCCCGACTCCGCCTCCTCCTGGAATCCTCTGGTCTGATGGCGGAGGTATCAGAGAACTCCCAGGCTGTCTGATAGGGGAGACATGGCCTTGGCCCTGGGGAATTCCCAGCCTCTAAGGGGGACACACCAATCTGGTGGGAAAGGCACATGGCCTGCCCTTGGAGTTGCTCCTGGTCCGCGTGGGAGCCGTGGCCCTCACTGTCAGGAGTCCGCTAACCTGATAAAGGAAAAGTGCCCACCCGGAAGGGACAGTAGCGGGGGTGCTGCCTGTGGGGAGCACCGTCTGATGGAAGGGGGCACAGCTCTGGGCTCGGGGGCTGCCAGCGTGGTGAGGGGACCGGACTTCCGTCCTGTGGCAGCTCCCTGAGCGAGCAGGGAGACACAGCCCTGGGCTTCAGGGACTCCAGTCTGATGGGGAAAGTCGGTCCCCCCACCACCACCAGCCCCTCTGAACTCCCCCGATGCTGGGGAAGACAGCGCCCTCCCCACGGAGCAGCTCTGCTCTGGGCTTTCAGGTCAGCACCGCAGTGCTAGGCCGGGGAGGAATGTTACAAGGGCCCAGGGCCCCCGTGACCTCCTCAGAGACCCCTGGGGCTGGGCCTTGGTTCCCACTCTGCCCACCTCCAGCACCCCTCCGGCTGCCTGGGATCCTGTATTCACCCACTCTCCCCTGTCCCTCGGCGTACCCCGCCTGCCCGGTCCACTCTCCCCAGAGGCACTGAGAGCTTGCAGGGGGTACCATCCATCCTGTCCTCCTCCGGGGTGGGGGCCCCATGCTGTTGGGCTGCTTTTGCCTGGGGGTGACAGCAGAACGCCCCCACCCCCACACACACACGGGGCCCGGGGCTGGGTGCCCTGACACTATCGCCTTTGACAATCACTCGTGCCTGGTCGATTCTGCCGCTGAGGGAGTAGAGGGCAAGCAGGCAAGGACGCAGGCCCAGATCAGGCAAACCCAGACCATTCCGTGTGCTCGCCCGCACTGCCTAGAACACAAGGACCCAGTTGCGCCCCAGGAGCCCTGGGTTCTAACCCCAGTTCTGCTCACAACATGTGTGGCCTTGGGCAAGTCACTTCCTGTCTCGGGGCCTCTATTTCCCCAACCGCCTAATGTGACTGTGGGGGCAGGTGATGGGAGTGGGGTCCCCTAAAGTGGCCGCGCTGCGTGCTACTGCTCGGATTCTCTGAGCCGAGCAGGCGCGGTGTAGAGTGAGGGCCGCCAGCCCGAGGAGGGTCAGGCGCGTGGGGAGCGGGCTGGAGCCTGCTGGCCCCATCTCTACCGCAATGGCGACTCCAAAGCTCCCTACATTAAATTTTTTTTTTTTTTTGGTGGCACCATGTGACAAAGTCAGCCCCTTGTTACAACCACTGCTCTTCTTCAGAACTTAATTAGAGCACTTAATTAGAGCACTTTGCCTTTCTCCCCTCTCTCTAATTAACATGCGGAGGCCCTGCAGCCTAAACACCCCAAATAATTGCGTCCGGGGGCCCTGCAGCCCAGCCTGGCCTCATTACTGGCAGGGTGGGGCTGCGGGCCCTGCCGCCTTCACAGATGGAAAATTGGTGACAAGAAAGAGCCACAGAAAGAGGCCTGACCCTGGGGCCCTGCCTATTGAGAGCACAGGCCTGGGGGAGAGGTGGGGGGGGTGAGCGACTGCAGCGCCCTGGGGCAGCAGCTGAGTCCTGGGGGAGGGAGGAGCTGGGGTGGGGGGAAGGGCAGGGCGAGTGGCGGAGTCCCCAGCTCACAGAGCGGCAGGAGTGAATGCTGTCACGGAGGCCACGGCCGCGGTGCGATTACCATCAGCCGTGCTCTGTACTGGGCGGCAGCGCATCGCTCACCTGGCAGAAGACCGCCTAACGGTCCTGGCAGGAAGGCTTCATTGCGCCCATTTACGGATGAGGAAACTAGAGGGAGCTCGGAGAGACCAGTGAGCTGGCTGTGGCGGGAGGAAGAGGAATCTCCAGCCGCACCCAGCCTTGCTCTGGGGAAGTTCAAGGTCAGGGGAGCAAGCCCCCCCACCGCGGGAGACAGGGGGAGCCCAAGGAGGGGGAGCCTGGTGTTAGGGACCCGGGGCGTGGTCCCAGCCCTAGATACAGCCTGAGCCCCATCACCTACTAGCTATAGGGCCTTGGGCAGCCTCAGCTCCCCCATCTGTAAAATGGAGCCAATCTCATCCAGTTGGATTGCAGATGACGCGTATGAAGGTGCTTGCCACTGTAATTTTCAGGAAATGACAGCTCACTTTCCTCATCTGTAAAATGGGCAGAGCGTGGGTACCGATTTGGCAGCATGGGGATCTCGTGGGCATCCTTGCATGTTGTCATGGTAACTGGTGCTCTAGCAAAGGCAGAGGACTTGGTGTTGGGCAGTGAGGGGTCTGGCTCAGCTGAGTTGGGCCCCGAGCCGTGGGGAAGGGGCTGCAGTCAGAGGGGGCATTTAGGCCCTCAGTGGAGCCCTGACACATCTTGGGGGGAACCAAGTAGGGTTTGGGAGCCCCTGACTCACCCCTGACGGAGGGTGCACCATCCATCCCAGCTCAGCCGTCGCTGTGGTGGAGTCCATCAGGGTTTCTGTGGGAAGAGCCAAGAGTCATCGGCAGGCCCACCTACCAACTGCTGTCAATCACTCTGCAGCAGCCCTGAGATCCCTCCCTTTTGCATCCTTTTCCCTTCCGTTGCCCCAGTCAGCAGGCTGCATCTCCAAGACTGTCCTCCTTCTAGACTCCGCCTCTCCTAACCCCGCCTACTCTCACGTCCCAGCCAATCATTTGGTTCTAATAGGTTCCGCCCCTCTAGGTCCAACTGCAGCTCCTCCACCTACGATCAAGCCCCACCCTCCCAATCACCTCCAGCTAACCTAGGTACTGGCCTTTCCCTACTTTTCTGTAGAGTCAGGGTCCTAACCTGGGGTCTCCTTCATGGGTTTCAAAGGGTTCACTACCACTCAAAATTTTACATCAGGGGCCAGTGTTGTGGCGCAGCAGGTTAAGCCGCTGCCTGCCATGCCACCATCACATATGAGCACTGGCTGGAGTCCTGCCTGCTCCACTTCTGATCTAGCTCCCTGCTAATGCATCTGGGACAGCAGCAGACAATGGCCCATGTGCTTGGGCCCCTGCCATCCATGTGGGAGACCAGGATGGAGTTCCTGGCTCCCGGCTTTGGCCTGGCCCAGCTCCAGCTATTGCGCCCATTCCAGGAGATAGAAGATCTCCTTCTTTCTTTCTCTCTCTCTCTCTCTAATGCTTTCAAATAAATAAAATCAATATTTTGAAAAAAAATTTTAACATCACACTTTGTATATCTGTCCACTGTTTAGCTTGCATCAAATTCTAAAAACCTGGGACGTAGGTGAGCTTCGGCGCCAGCCACACCTCACCTGCCTGGCCCTCACAGCCTGTCAGGGCACCCTCCCTTCTCCCAGAACCTGGAGTCCTCCTGGTGTCCCCAACCCCGGGAGGCCTTCCCCAGGGCTCTGCCAACTCCATGCCCAGGAAGTGCTCAGGGTGTAGGATTGTGACTAGCAGGCACCAGCAGAGGGGTTAGGAGACTCAGGCCAGCCCTGGAACCAGCAGTCAGAGGGCACGAGCCACACAGAGCCCAAGAGAGCTCACGCCCACCCACCCAAGTTCGGCTCAGGCCCAGAGCTCCACATGGCCACAATGGCTAGGGCTGGGCCATGCTGAAGCCAGGAGCCAGGAACTCCCTCTGGGTCTCCCACGTGGATGGTGGGGGCCCAGGCACTTGGGCCATCATCTGCTGCTGTCCCAGACACATTAGCAGGGAGCTGGGTCAGAAGTAGAGCGGCCAAGAATCAACCCGGCACTCCAGTCTGGGACGTGGGAGTCCCAAGTGGCAGCTTAGCCTGCTGCACCACAACGGAGGCCCCTCAGAACAATTTGAGTTGAGTGGACTGAAACTGTCCCCTCAGCCATCTGGCCAGCTGACACTCGCAATGTGCCAAGCACTGTGCTGGGTGCCCTGGGACAGGAAGTGGGGAGCAGCATGACCCCCTGTGGAGCAGTTCACAGTCTGGCAGGGGAGATGAGGTGCGCACTGGGGACCTAGCAGGTCCCAGCAGGACGGGCACACCGCTCAGCCCAGCTAGCAGGTGAGAGACCTGCTCTCCACTCTGCTCCCAAGGCAGGCATCACCAATCAATCCTTGCACTCGTGGCCACCCAGGGTTTCTCATGGCAGAGTCCCTGGCCCATACAAATGCCCACCATCTGTGTTGCAGCCACCTGCCCCTGTCTAGAGACAGGGCAGCTGGGGCACAGGGAAGGAAAGAGATTCGCTAGAGATCACAGAGGAGTTGGTGGCGGGGCAGGTGTCCAGCCTCCTGCCCCATCCACTTCTGGGCATTTAGAACAATTAGTGTGATGGCCTGAGCAGGATAAACTAGTGCCAAGAGACTGGGGGCAGGGTGCCAGTGTCCAGGCCACTGAGAAGGTTCAAACGGGAGGTAACGAGGGCACGACCGGCGGGGCGGTGGGTGGGGGTGGAGCGTGGGGAGGGGAAGAAGCACTTGCCCAGCGATGACCTCAGCCAAACGGGAGAGCTGACAAGAGAGGATGCAGAAGTGTCCCTGAGACCGCCTGTGGCTTGTGTTTGTGGTCACTGGGTCTCTCGGCGCTGGGGCCGGCGTGGGGGGGGGGGGAGGGGTGCCAGGGACGGTGGAGCCAGTGCCAAGGGCATCTTTTTGATGACAAATTGAAGCGAAGTTCTATTATGATGCTTTGGAGCTGCAAAAAAAGGGCCCCTTTTCACACTCGGAATGCTACAGATTTTTCTTCCTGGAGAGAACAAGGGCTGAACTTTTAACCTGTTTTCTCTCATCGGCCTCATCGGACTCGCCAAGCTGGGCTCTCGGCCGGGCCGGAGGAGCAGCTGCCGAGAGCGGTGTGGACCGAGGGAGAGGAGCGGGGTCGGGGCGGGGGGAGGCGAGCCCCACCCCTTGGCTGGACTCCTGGGTGACCCAGAGGACACGCACTTGAGGGTTCTGTGTGGCCCAGGTGGGAGGGGCTGGGAACTGACCTCCTCGTTGTTCGGATGCAAACGTGGACCCAGAAGGGAACAGGGATCTGTCAGAAGTCGCGCAGGAAAGCGGGGGCTCAAACACTAGGCTCTCACCCAGGGGCTCCACCATGCCCCTCTCCTACCTGGCCCATGCTGGGCGGGAAGCCTGCCAGGGCAGGGGCTCGAAGGCCCGGATGACGCACGCTGCAGGCTCACAGCCAGTGAGGGTAAACGGGCAGAAGAGGCAGCGGAGGGCGGCGGCTCCCCTGCTCCCTTCTCCCCTGCCAGTCCCAGCCCTGGTGTGGGGAGTCTGGGCTGGGGCTGCTTTCCCCTCCCCTGGCCCTTTTCGGTCTGATCCTGCCCTGCCTCCCTCTACCTGTGCACGTAGGGCGGGGAGCAGAGCACGCACACCGGGCCCGGAGGCCAGCCAGAGCTGCATTCTAACACAGGTTCATTCTTCCCCCGCCTGGCCGTGCACCCTTGGGCCGTGTCCTCAGCAGGAAATGGCCCAGATACCTCCCAGTGTGGAGGTGAGGACCCAGCGAGCCAGGCAGAGTTTAGCTTGGAGTCCAGCACCAAGGAAACCCCCCAGGAAGTGGCAGCTATTTTTAGATGGAGCGCGGCACCCCCCCGCCCCGGCTGACCCTGGCACCTGCACCCATGTGGCCCCTGATGTGAAGGCGGGGGCTCGGCCCGCTGGCTTTCCCACGCCCAGACCACGCTGGCCAGCATCTGAGAAACATCAGCCTCCCTCTCCCGACGGCCGCCGCCTCCAAGGAGCCCTTCCCAGCCCGACCCACGCTGCTTTCCTGGGATGCCCCGAGCTCCTCTTTGTTCTTCTCAAACCGACTGCAACCGTCCGACTCAATTCCCTGGGGAATCTGGGGCAACCAGCTCTCGCCTCGGGAACCCAGGTGGGCCCAGCGCCCCCACCGGCACAACGGCTCAGACGCCTCCCCCGAAATCCCAAGACTCCACGGAGCGAGAGGACTCATTTCCACGGAGGCCCCAGTGAGGGCCAGAAACCTGCAAAATTCTCCCAACAACGCCAAGAGGTACCTGACACTGTCCTATGTCGCCGGCCGGCAGGGGCTCAGGAACTTGCCCAGGGCCACTCGTGTCGTCTCTTCCCAGCTGTGCTCAGGCAGCCATGACTGTGTGGCGCTCTCCCTCTCGAACCTTTGCCCCTCTACACCTGCTATGCCTGCCCCTCATGCTCCCCAGCTGTGACGTCTCAACTCAGGTCACCTCCTCTTGGAAGTCCTCCTGAACTCGGCACCCTCCAGCTCTGCAGTCACGGGGGTTTTGAGATGGTCCAGCACCCGTAGCTGGCCAGGGCAGTAACTGCCTGGCCTCCTCGGAGGCCCTGTGCGTCCCTGAAGGGGAGCTGCATGGGGTCCTAGGGGCCTGGCGCAGAGTGGCGGGAACACGAGCCAGTGCCCTGCTCCGTCAGGGCCGCCGGCCTCGGGCCTGTCCCGTGGATGACACTGGATGACGTCAGCCAATCCTGCTACTTACTATTTTTCTTCCAACCGCCTCTTTTCTCTTAAGTACATTTTAAAGAGTTGGGGGGGGGGAGTAATCATTATTATAAATGGAAAACCAATATCACTTTCCATAAAAAGAAGGGAAATAAACACAAGGCTCTTATAATTAAAAATGTTCGTCCGCAAACCGCCGAACACGCTTTGGGGGCCACGGGGCTCCATCAAGCTGCCTCCGCTGTGACAGTGCCAATCCCTCATTGCTGGGGAGCTGGCGTCCCTGTCCACAGGTAATTAATCACCATGCGGATGTGACAAGACACGCGGGGCTGTGCGCGGTGCGTTGTCAGCTATGGGAACGGGAGTGGATGGAGGAAGGGAAGGCCACGTTCAGGTATGGCTTCGTGGAGGAAGTGACACTTGTGGGCGGGGGGCGGGGGGAGCTGGCGCTGAGTGTGGCTGAGGGCACTGCCCATGGGCTGACGCAGGGAGCCGAGGCCGTGCCCACCTGCCCACCTCCTGCTGCCACCGCTGCCATCTCCCTCTCCAGCCCACCCCACCCCATGGCCAGGTCCCCAGGGCCCAATGAAGAGATGAGCAAGGGGAGGCCACAGAGATTCTTGGCGCACAGGCCACAGCAGGAACGGGGAGCACGCTCCTCTCCTCGGGGTGGGAGAGGGCGCGGTCTGCCTGCGCCCACACCGCCTCTCCCGCCCGGAGCCGGCGCACAAGCAAGCAAGCGAGAGGCCCCGGCTGCACGGGCTGCAGGGGCGGCCGGCCCTCCGGCGAGTGGGAACTGTAGTGTGCATTTCAGAAATATTTCAGCTCAAAGGGGAGACACACTGAAGTCGTTAGCATCGGGCCGCCAGGAGGGGGCCGGGGGGGGCCTGCTCGCAGGCCGGCTAGATGTTGCCCCCGGCTCCCCGGGCCACCGCTGGGCAGCTCTGGCTGTCTGCACCACCATCGGTTAGATGAGAGCGCCAAAGGTGTGAAGAGGGGGCTTCCATTAAGCGCCTTCTGTGTGCCAAGCAGTGGCTGGGGCACTGGAAATGCCATCTTACGAGAAGTT